GTTGCAGAGGGCAGAGATCAAAGTTTGAGAATACTTTCTTATTTGAAATAAATATTTTACAAAAGTAAGAAACACAATTTTACTGTAAGAGATATTATTTACTTGGAACCATTCCAATAAATATATATATTTTTTTTAATATTGTAAATACAATCATACGTATTGTTAGCGACAGTAATATGAATTAATATACTATTTTTCACTTTCTAAGAGTACGCGTCTTTGCGAGGCCTACTATAACTGCAAATGGTACGACATGGTGGGAAAAAATGCCAAAATAATAATTTTTTGCATGGCTCGATCACAAAAACCGTTGCAGCTGACTGCTGGAAAATTTTCTGTATTCTGTCTTACGACCTTTACCAATGTACGTTACTACTTCTGTGACCTACAAAACATTTATGTTTACTTACTTTCATGAATATTTTAACTTATTTATTATTCATTACAGACTGTCAAAGCATCCATGGGGTATTTATCGGTACTAAGAACTGTAATGTAAAGTTACTTATTTCATAAATTATTAGATACTTTAATTTCAAGCTGAACTATTTTATTTTTTTAATTAACTTCATTACTTAGCATTTATTTCTCTAGTCACAAAATAGTTTTTGCTTGTCAAATACAATAGTGCTTGTAAGCATCTAAGTGGTATTTTATAATTATTTTTTTTTTTCTTTATTGTAATTTGAGCAATACGATTTTCACCCCCTTATCTTTAAAGAAAATCAAACGTAAAAAATAAAATGGTAGCGTAAGAAACCTGTCCATGTTATACTCAAGTAAAAAAAAATCATGCTAATAGTTTCCTATACTCAACCCAATAACCCAATAACCCAACACTGTATATTCGCATCTTCCTTTAAACATTAATGAATCTAGTTAGAATATTTAATTTTGTTGTTAACGCTTTATACGAAGTACATAATTATGCACTTTTCCTCTCTTTCAATGGTTCAAATAAAGATAATAATGTAACAGCTATCGTTTTATAAGATTTTTTTCTTGTTAACTTTCGTGCACTTTTACGCAATGAAAAAACAGTCATCGAGCCAGCTTAAGTGGTGGTTATGATAAAGTAAATGCAACATACTTCATTAAAATAGGTTATAAGTAGAAGGTAACAAATAATGAGGTATAAAAACATTTTCTTGATCATTTTATTTTCTTTAAAAAAGTACTTTAATTTCATACCAATAATTTGATTTCTTTATTTTATACATCAAGTTTTCGCTTTACAATAAATTTATTTCGTATCTGACGCAACTGCGAAATATATAATGTATGTGAGCAGTATATATACATATGTATATTTACGTAAATTTATATCTATGCATGATTGTAACATAATTGTTTTAATACTTAAGTATATATGTATACATTTTCTACACATCTTTTTTTTAAATTTTCGTACAAATATAATTCAAATAATACAATATCTCGTTCATTTACATTTTTATAATACGGACGGTACTTCGGTTGTTTATCCCTTTATTTAATCAATAAAAAATAAAAAGATGCGGATAATCTAGTATAATGTATTTGTAAAATCATTCAATCGAGTTTTGTGATCTGGTATTTACATTGTTATTATTATTATAATTATTAGCTGTACTTTGTTGCGAGTATTTCTCAGTTGTTGAAAATGTTTACTTTAATGAATAAATTTCTACAGATAAAAGCTTTAGGAATTTAAAATTTTCAACGAGTAAACGACGTATGTCTTTATTAATTTTTTCACAAACACAGTATAGCTTACTTATTTATATATTTGTGATTTTAATAATATTCACATACTTACATACTTATGATTTCGAGTATTCACGTATCATTGTACATTAGCTACTATTTTTATGCAATATTATAATTGCAAGTTTTGCGATTACCATAGTCCAATGCAAATATGTCTTAAATTACGCTATAACATTATACATTTGGGACTAAAAATTGTATGATTTACAAAAAGTTTGTAATATTTATAATCGGTGATTTCGAGGTTCTTTTAAATATTTTTCACTACAAAGGTACAAAATGTTTCCCATCGTAAGCAAGTGAATCACGTTAACGAAATTTGTATTAAAACTTTTTCGGCAAGTTGCAGCTTTTTAAAGATTTCAGAACGAGAATCAACTTATCGTATATAAAATAACGACTTCTTTACGTACCAGTTTGCAGAAAGTAAAAATGTTTTTACACAATGTGACACGTGATGATGCACTACTACACACTCCACGGACGCAAGTAAATAATGCTCATGTCACACATATTTTTCATGGTTATACACACATACATGATCTGGGACATACTTTAATTGACGGCACTGAATGTGATAATCATAATTAACTGTATGATTGCGTACAAATAAAATATGGCGAGAAAAACTGGAACATACCCCCGTATTCGTTTATCAATGAACAGAAATATAAGTTTGAAATAATAGAATGTGAACAGTGGGGAGCTTTGACGGCTCAGTGGATAATATATTGGATGGAAAAATTTTGTTCTAAAGCTGCTTTTTTGATTGGAATATTATAAACCACGGATGCACAAGCTACGTGTGGTACACCTGAAGAAGAAGCGGGTAAGAGACGCAAATCCAAGAAAAAAAGGGGCAAAGCATAAATGCTGGCAAAAAGCACTACCGTTGGTATAAATATATATTTGTTATATGGTGGGGAGGTGCATTAATGCAAATGCAAAATACAATTTGAACAATGGCACTTTGGATTGAAGAAGCACGGTGTTACAAAAAATATTATTAATTGTGAAATCACGCGCGATATCATTATTTTCGTATGATTGTAGGCCCGTAAACCCATACTTTGCGTGTACACTGCAGTATATTTATTTCAATTAACCGAAGCAGCTGTGAATATTTGTATTAAAAGAATTTCTTGAGGGGAAAAAAACGGCGAAAGACCCAACAATACTGTCACGCGAATAAAAAAAGTAAAAAAATTATTTACATCGTTTAAAATACCACCAACTTATTTATTACGCTTTTTTATGTTATTTACACACACACACACACGCACATTTTTTTTTTACTCTCCGTTTGGCAGTATTGATATTTTATTCATACAACACGTATACATACCAACAGAAAAAACACTATCGACGTAATATAAAAATACACATGTGTATGACGAGTATAGCATACAATTTGATACAAATAAAGTAAAAGTACCGTCACAACTGCGGATGTATTGCGAGCGGCCATATTCAGGGATGTTATTGTTGAAAAGCAAAAGATTGAACTTTTGTTGGATGTACATGCAAATTAGAGAGAACGTGCAAGCACACAGTACCGTTATTATCCCACGTAGCAAAAAAAAAAAAAAAACGTGTCTGGGAGAGGAATGGGAGAAGGAAAGTGTGAGGTACGAGGAGAGTGCAGGTCAGTTGTTGGGTGTCGGCAGACCAGACGTCGAGGATGGACGCTTGTGGGCACCGCTCGATCGCCTCGATGATGGTTTGTGCGTAGACGATGAAGGCAAGCCGCTCACAATGGAATAACTGTGCTTGCCGTTGCGCCCATCGGACTTTGGGGCTAACTTGTCGGATGGGTTTTTCGGAAAAACGCAAGCCTTGGAGGTCTGCTTGAGGAGGTAATGGTCGTTGCAGAGGGCAGAGATCAAAGGCAGATCCAGGTTTCGACTCTTTTCCCGCAACGTCTTGATCTCGAGCATCACGGCACTGTTGTCCTGCTGGTGTTCCTGGTGCTTGGCCACCGCGCGCCTCTGCGTCTGGCTACCGCAGCCGACATTGCCATTGTCCACGCACGTCTTTGGAGCCAGACTCTGCCCGTCGATTGGACACGAGGCACGAGTTACAAGTATCATCAATATATATTATAAGGTGTCCCCACGAGGAGACGAGGTATAAAACATGTATGTGTGTATGTTACCTGTGGATCGTAGGGGGGCGGTGGGGGTGGCGGTGGTAGCCTCCGGTGCTTGGCGTGCTGGGCCGGAGCCAGCTCCTGGGCGCCCGAGGGGCACTCGTAGCTCTTGAGTATGTTCTCGTAGCTCCTAGTCCTCGAGAAACGGTGCCTGGCGCTAGCCGGTGGGGGCAAGGGTGGCGGGGGCGAGCCGTACCGGGCCACCGGACCAGCAGCAACGCTGCCCGCCAGGCCGTTGTACAACGAACCCGTGCTCGTTGCGTACTGCAACCGATGGCCGTTGCCCCCGCCACCGTACATCACCCGCTGATAATTTTTTGCCCCGCTGGTATTGCTGGCTATTGTGGCAATAGCGGCGGTGGTCGCGGTATCGCTGAGATTCTGATTCGAGGCGTACGACAGTGGTGGGTTGTTGCTGGCGGGATTGGCCGGCTGGGGGTACGGCGGCGGGGGAGGATAAGCCGCCGCCATGGCCGCGAGGAGCGAGCCCTGCTTCGCATCGATGTACTCCTGCTTGGAGAGGGCCGGGTCCTTGAGGGGAAACATGACGTAGTCGACGTCCGAGTAGAGCTGCTGCTTGTACTGCTCGACCTGCTGCTGGGCCGTGGAGATAGCCACCGACGCTGGAGGCGGTGGCGGGGGCGGTGGCGGTGGTTGCCTGAGCTGCTGGGGTGGCATGAGGTACGGCAGGAGGACCGGACCAGCGCGAGTCGCGTGCACGTCCAAGTAGTTGTTGGGCCCGACTACCAGAGCAGCGACCGGCGCGTGGACCGGCGTCGGCTTCATCTTGTCCCCCGGATAAGTGGGCGGCTGGATTCTCGCCGACGGCGGGGGTGGTGGCGGTGGCTCTCTGCGAAACAAGCGATATTTTATTTTTATCTTTATTTCCACACGGAGATAAAAAAAAAACGTTATCCACGGTACCTGGGCACGACGGCGTCGTTGCGGGGCGGGGTGGGCGGAGGTATTTCGCGAAAGCGCGGCGGACAGCAGGGGTGGTAGCCCGGCGGGGGCGGCGGAGGCTTCGGGGTGGCCATCGTCGGGCCCGGGTAGGGCGGTGGCGGGGCCAGCTGGCGCTCGCTGTCGGTGCGCGGGGGCGGGACCGGCGGTAGGGGCGGCGGTGGCATGCGCACGTAGTCGCAGTCCGAGTCCATCGAGGCCCCGATGCTCTTGCGCGGTGGGTAGCGGCCGACTATCAGGTCCGAGAGCTCGTCCGCCGAGAGCAGGGGCCCTCGCAGCCCCGACGGATCGCTACCGTCGCCCCGGAAGCTCCCCGCGCTCAGGATACTGTTGCTCCGGGATCTGCCGTCGTCCAGCCGGGGCTTCTCGGCGAGCTCGTCGTCGCCCTCGCAGACGCTGTAGATCGGCTCTCCGTTCGGCTCTGGCTCGCCAACAACGTCGTCGTCCTCGTCGTGGTTGGTGCGACAGCTGCTCCCACCGTAGCAGGAGCCGCTCGCCTCGGAGCGCAATCCGCTGTGTATCGTGTAGAAGCCCGAAGTGACCGAGGCCTCGTCCGTCGTCACGGACTGTACCGACGAGTTGTTGCCCATCGGCTCGTCCAGCGTGTCGCTGCTGTGCAACGTGTAAACGCCGCTCGTCTCGCTGCCGGCGACTTCCACGACTGTGCAGCGTCTCTCGTTAGTCTCTCATTATCAATGGGAAGGGAAGGGGGAAGGAAGTAGTATGTACTTTGGATGATATACGTACCGGAGTATTTGGGGGGTTTGTTGCACCTGTCGTAGACCGGCTCGGCCGGGTGATGAGGGGAGGAGGAGTTTTGGGGGTCGTGCAGGTAGCCGGTGCGGCTCGTCGTTGGACCGGGTGGGGGATCGGCGGCGACGACCGTGCTGCAGGTGCTGCTGCACTGTGAATCGGCGGGGGTGAGCAGGAGGCCCGGGCAGGGGAGGGGCGCCCTGTGGGGCGGTGGCGGCTGGTGGGCCTCCGCGTCGGGGTTCTGGGAGGTGCCGGAGGAGCCGGAGGAGGACGAGGCGCCGTGGGCCAGCGGGTCGTTCGCGGCGGGGCCCGTCGCGTCCGGCTCGTCCTCGCTGTGCACGCGGTCGCTCACTATCCCCGACGTCGTGTTGGACGAGGTACTCGATATCAGGGAGATGCGCTGGTCGGCCCGCGAGCCCCGCAACGTGAGGCTCAGCTTGCAACGGGCCGGATACATGTAGTCCCTCAACACCTTGCGCTCTGCAATCATTTCACATCAATTGATATATATTTAGTACGCACTATACTTTTGGATGTTAATACCTACGCCAATTTAAAATTATGGTAAAATGATATATATAGTATTATCTGGCAAGTTTTTGTGTATACGATAAAAAAAATTGTAAGTTTTTTTGGCGAGCGTGGACCAAACGGGAGACTTGGATCATAGATAAAATTACCCTCTTCCTCGCGACGCTTGGCCTCGGTGACTCGCGGCGCTATGGACATGAAGAACTGATGGGTGTCCCGACAGAGCGCCAACAGGAGCTTGCTCTTGTCGTCGCAGCCGCTGAACAGCGTGAGCTTGGCCGGCTGATCGACCGCTCGGATCTCAAACTTTTTGCGCTGCGACGTTAAAATGATTGCCACGTGAAGATTCTTTTTTTTTTTTTTTTTTTTTTTTTTTTTTTTTTTTTTTTTTTGGTGAGGGGGCGTGCGAGCGGGTACTCACGTCGAAGCCGAGTTTGCCAATGTTGTTCCAGGTGAAGACCTGCGGGGACTCCTCGTCGCCGTAGACACGCACGCCGCGGGCACATATGGCGAGTAGGGCGCGGCCGGGTCCCTGCTCGTTCTTGCTGCGACGCAAACGGTACAGGTGAGCGTTGAGCGGCGCTTCCAGGAGCACCGCCTCCCTGATGTACGCTTCCTCGGCCTCCTCCCTCGACAAGCCGCGATTGTCCCTGTGGTGGGCCGCGAGCACCGACACCGCGTTCTCCTCGTGGCACATCTGCAACGTTATCCACCACATGGATGTTATGGTTACGATGGGTGCCACGTGTACAATGGTTATTGGGTTATTGGTAAAACTGATGTGGTTGCGCGGGTGTTTGCTTACGTGAGCTGGGAGGTAGTCGGAGGGTTTGCAGTAGGCCTGCCGGCGATGGCGCTCCTCCGTGTAGTCGCCAAGATCGGCCTGGAGGGCGAGTCCGGAGAGACTGAGCAGTGGCCCGTACATGCTGCTCGACTGAAGGGGATGCCGTTGGCCCTGCCAGCTCTCGATGCCACCCCCATGGCGTACGACGTTGTCCCGCAATTGCAGGTAATAATGATGCCGCGTCGTCTCATCGCTGACCGAACACACAAACCAACATTCGTTCATTTGCATACGTCATACTTACTCTCCGACATACCAGTCTGCAGTCGGCACTTTAATTATTTTTACCTCAATATCAGTGGTGTGTCCACGTAATACCGCACTCGAAAGTACAAGACAAAAGCCGGTCGTCCACTGCTATCCAAACCCTAAACACACATTTTAATTAACTCGATTAATAATAATAATAATAATTAACTCGTGTTTCGATACCTTACACATCATGTAAGCACAATAAGTATATTATGTATTATGTGCACTCATTTTATTCATTTCGGTTGAACGTTTTTGCGATATGCCTTTCATCCAGAATGTAAGGTAGCTTTTTGGAGCGGGGGGGGGTGACAGGACTTTTATTCAACCCCACGTAAAAAAGGGATGATAACAATATATGTGGTGTAGGCAAACACGTGTACATGCATGCTGTGAGGCTTATGCAGTGCTAAATTGGATATTAATGACGATTAGGCTGATGTAATCGTTATACCATTGGAAATGAAATTTTTCGACAGTTTGCGAGATCGGGTCAACTGTACGGGAGGCGAAAAAAGCCACACGACATCAGATGCTTCGAGTTGTGATAATTGTGATTTTAGGCACCTTCGATCAAATTAACTTTTATACACATACATGTATGTAAGTTGGGTGTCCACCAGGAGAGATACCTCATAATTTATGTAGATTGCAAAAAACAAGCTCGAGAGTTTCAGAGCCCGAAGCCCACCTCGACTAGTATTCGAAATGAAAGGGGGGGGGGAGGAGAAAATGTTTATTTATCAAGAGAGACCCCTCTTGTCTAATGGCATTTTTAAATGATCACGTATGGCGGGCACCCAGCACGGATCATGCCGAGCGTTGAATATCAATCGAGTTGTTTTTTCTCCGTGAACGAGGAAAAAGAGAAAAGGTCTCCCCGGCCGATGAGCCTTCGAGGATTCGCCGTGGCAAATTAGAAGAGAGATTGCCCACGAGAATATGTGTTTAACGAAGCATAAATATTTATGAAACCCGGCGAGGTCCTTTCCCTCTCCGCGATTCGCGTCTTTGTCTTTTTTCTCTCGCCTTTCCGGCCAATCAAAAATCTCAACCCCGGAACGTGAAAAAGGCTTTAAAAAACCACCAGCGGTCCAACTGCTGCCCACGCCATTACAGCCTTGGTCTCGATCTCTGTACCACCTGCTCAAAGACATATACATATATATATATACCAATTGAAATCGGTGACTTACGTAGGTATGGGAGCTTCTCCAATTTTTGGGCGCGTATTTACTCAGCTTGTTCTCCTGATCCACGAAAAGGTACTCTCCGTCTGTAAAACAATAAAACAAAACAAAACAATTAATTTTCAAAGAAATCAGCACAAACAAAATAGAAACAAAGTGCTGTACTGATTATCGGCATTTTGAATGGGCAAAAAAAAAAATAAGCGCCACCACGTACGCGTAACGAGGAAAGTAGGTGATGTTTTACGCTACGGAGAATGAGAATACGCAGTCAGAAGAAAAAGATAAGAAGAACATGTGGGAGAGAAGAGGCATACCCGATTACCGCCTCCTACACTCGGCGTTCAAAGTCCTTTTTTTCTATTTGAAACGGTGAACAATGCAGCGCAATTACAAGTTTGGTGAGACTTTCGTTGACTCGGCGGATTGCGTCAATTATCCCATATTGTGTATATACTACTACTTACATATATATATGTACAATAGGTATACATGTAGGTATATACGAACATTTTTTGTATTTTGTAATACATATTATACATATATATATATATATTTCACTGTAGTCAATTCAGCACACTCATACTCATTACTTTTGATGTCTTTTTTAATCACGGATATCGGCCCGTGTGTACAAATGATCTATGTTTTTAGGACAAAGCCTCACCATTAAGATCTAACCAATATTACGTAGGCCTTTTTTCCGTACCAACTAGTCAGCACGTGTAAGTTATACAAAGGAGCATCGGTATATTTGAGAGCTTACGTGATTTTTTTTTTTTTTTTTTTTTTTTTTTTTTTTCTCTTCGCAAATAAGAGGTACATTTAGGGATGTATAGGTATGTTTCTTTGTATAAGTTTCAAGCATCCAAATGTTTGCGACCCATACAGAGCAGGTATACCCCATACTTTGAGTTAACTAGGTATACCCACATTATTTTCTTTACACAATAAGTTTGCGCCTCGTCTGACAGTCGGTGGGTATACCCGAAGTAGTTCTTATTTGCTCTCCGTCAAACCGGACTCGACCACAATTATTCTTTCGTCCCGTGGTGAAATGAGCCTAGATATTCCATTGTTATACGTGTATAATAATTATACTTATTTGATGACACTGTACAATGATACAAGTAATATGTGTGCACATAATACGCAAGGGAGAACGGCAAATCGAATGTATATATAGGTATACAAAAATTTCTCGGAGAGCTGTTTATTGCACTACTCGAGGATGAAAAAAAAGTTGAGAGAAAAAGAGGAGGAGTAGGAGGAAGAAGAAGATTGCGGGCATCGAGAGCAGAAAAAAGCGTCGAGTTTTGGTGCTTGGTATTTTAGCCACTCATTCTCCAGAGCCACATTCCAGCGCACACGTATATATATCATAGCGTGTATATATATATATATATATATATATAGAGAGAGAGAGAGAGAGAGAGAGAGAGAGAGCAGCGGCGGCAGGAAACTCTGTATATATGTATACACAAGGCAAGGCCCAGCTTTCCAGGGGCCCTATACAAATGACCGAGCTACCGCATTACGCGGCTGCGCGCTTTTATGTATGTATGTATATATAAGCGAAAGGGGTGCAGGAAAGCGAGGTAGGTACGGGCGGGAGGAAAGAAGAGATGGCTGCATGTGTATATAGATATATAAGTATATCCTGAGCGTCCCGTGAATTCCACAGGGCCACCACGGCCCGTGCAAAGGCCGTATAGTATGCAGGTATAGCGGCCAACCACAGCATGATGCTCGGCTAAGCTCCGTATATAGGTGCATCATACACACGTCGAGTCTACGTATGAACTTTATGTTTATTTTTGACGCTTTGTTTATAACATAAGTATACCCATTTCCCTCCCAAAGTGGATGTACAATACGAGTACATGTTTATTATGCACCCGGTACTTGAACCCTAAACAGAAAGAAAGAGATGGAGAGCGGAGGCGAGTAACGAGGCCCCTGTGACAGCCCCGTTAAATCGAAGGCCCAGCTATTTTTAACTTGGAGCGCTGATTGCAAAATCGCCCGGCAGGTATAGCTGTAGCCACCGCGGGGAGCGCGAAGCCCCCTTGTCGAGGAGAGAGAAAGGGGGGGGGGGAAAAAGAAACCGCGAGAGAAGAAGAATCCTGCACCAAAAACGCGATTGGTCCGCGTGTCATATGTGGGCCGCTCGAGAGCAATTTTCTTTTTTTTTTTTTTTTTCTTTTTTTTCGTTCATCGATCTTTATCTGCGCGAGATGGATGGGGCAGGGGGTCTAAAATCTCTTTTCCTTGGCGTGTGCGCAACAGCATACTACAACAAACAAGTGTATGTATGTATATATTATCCAGGCAGGCCCGCGATGACAAAAGTACGTATAGGTATAAATATATACTTACACGAGCCCTCAAGAGATTCACGGCTTTTGACGCGCGCGACACGAGAAAGCCCGCATCATCTCTGTATCTATATGTATAATGTATGATAATTTTGCATTTTGCACGGCATATTAATACCATTACTGAAATATTTTTCTACATATAATTATCCACGTGTAGATGCTGCGTACAGTACGTGATACATGTACCCTTTGAGTACAATATATAAACGTGGGGGTACTACAATATAATGGAGCATCTCCCTCGCGGAGGTAAGTACGTACAATCTTTTCGTGGTGCAGCGGATGCTACGGCTCGCGCGAAACAGTCTTTTTGTACTTGTTCTGGTTTTTCAGGTGCATTTTTTTTGGCGAGCGCGTGCTCGCGCGATGGGCCCCGTGGAATGCACGCCGCGCGCTCCCCGGAGGAGAGAGGGGGCACGGGGACCCGTCAGACCGGGTGTGTTGGTATATAGCGACTGGCCGCGCGACCCGAGGGAGAGCTCCTTCGACCGCATGCCTATACGTATATATTATATTCTTGTACACCTATATATATATACTCGATCCGTAGCGCGCACGGGAACCTCTTACATGACCAATTACGCTAAAAATAAAACAATCCCTGGCGAAAATTTGAAAATTAAGTTTTCCACGGTATCACGTTCGTTTGGTGAAAATCCTTCTCCGAGCCTTGCATCCGATTCATCGAAAAAACGAAAAACAACATGATTTCGTAACAACAATGTTATGAAAATTACTAAAAGAAAAAAAAAAGCTCGAAAAAGTTTATTGCTCGGACTTTTTACCTTACAACGACGGTGATGATATGGTTTATAACTGGATTCTCTTCCTGATAATGTTGCGTGTGATAGTGGCGTACTAGTACGTGTTTCGTAACAACCGAGAACAACCTAGACCTTTTGGTGATAAAATCATAAGTATTGTTTTTCTCGATCTTCCGTCACCAACTCGAAATGCGCTCAGTAGCTTTTTTAACAGGGTGTACCCAAGTACTCACCTACCCATTCATCACTCACTTTTTAATTTAATCATGCACAGGTACCCAACAACTCGCTCAGTATCCGGATTTTTGAATTTATTATCCATCGATGTAAAAAGAAATTGTTGCTCCCTCCGGTTAAAATAATTTTATTATTTTTTTTTTTACTTAATTTTTTTCTCATTTATCATAGAAAATAGTTTGTTCAAATGATTTCCCACTGGATTTTTGAGATTTATTTAACCGGGCTTAGATGAATGTTAGGTACACAGGTTTTCGTTGTAATTAAGCATCATCAATGCCATTTAAGTGTAGGGTATAAATATACGAATAGAAAAAAAAAAGTGCACTTACCGGACAGGATTGCCAGACCAAAGAGTTCGCAATCTTGCATACCCTGCTGACCCAGAAGTTGGCATGTTTGCGCGTAAACTTCTTTCACCTTTGATTTGACCTGCAAAAGATGCGTATTTTAAACAAAAACAAAAATAACCCGAGGTCTCGATTACAACCAGTGCAAGTTATTTTTTGTCTACAATTCAAAAGTCCAAGTTTTTGCAGATGAACGGACCTCTGATCGATCTGTCGCTCCAAACATATTATGTTATACCTCGGCGCTCGCGGAGCAGATGGTATATTATTAATTAGAGCCATTTCACTCGTTCTAGTACGTTAATAAAAAAAAAAAATAATAATTATGCATACCTATTGTATACATATAACAAGATGCAACAGTGACATCGCGTTGTTTAAACATTTGTATGAGCATTTAAATGCATCTCCTTGAAATATACGAAAAGACAAATATCGATTTACATTTGCAATAGTTGAATGACTGGTGAGTTTTAAAAAGGTCGCTCGTTACGACCGTCATATGTTTTTCTTGTCCGAGTAAAAACGCACATGGTATGATTATGAGCACATAATATTATGGGTCTGTCACATTGTATATATATTATGCACATGCAAGTGAAAATCATTGCACGCTAACATATTTATTATACCTATGTAAGTTGGTAGATATACCTGTACGTTTTATACACGTGTGTACATACATAGGTGTAGACATCTGCAGATAATAGCACGCACCGAGAATATATAAATATAAAAGACGGTGAAAGCGTACTACATACCAGTGACTTTTTGTGCTGAACATACATGGATTGTAGTTGCAAGTATTGTGTATACTATATATATATGTGTGTGTGTGCACGCGCGTGTCCGTGTATTTCATTATGTATGAATAACAATTACAAGTGGTAAGACACAGTATTTCGATATTAGCATACAATATGCGTATACGTATATTAATTGATTGGTTCGATTGATCGAGCTCAAGTTCAGTGGAAACGTTGAAGATAAAGAATAATATACGTAGGGAAATTCGGGAGGTAAAGTTATGTATATTTCCATGAATTCTCTTGCAAATCAGTTAAAAAATACTTGTCGATTTCATCCGTCAAAAACCATAGCTAATCAATGAAAATTTGTGGAAAAAAAGAGTGCCCAATGGACCCCTTTCCACGGTAATGTAAAGATGTAATGCTGCGAATGGGATGCAATAAATTAACTGAAAGCGTGGGGTGGGGGGAAACTTACGTCAACAATGAAGTAGAGCGGATCACCGGGCAGAGCGTGGACAGCGAGGTAGCGGCTGGCAGAAACCAGGGGTTGAAGGCAGGACCGCGCAGCCGTGACACTGCTACCGCGCATGCTGCATTCTTCATTTCGTCGCTGATTCGTCCAGCGTCCTCACTGAAATCACAACGTGGTTTTTTCTCCGTCAGTCAAAAAAAACAAACAGTCCCACTCATTGTTTTTTCTAGGCCTTTTTTCATTTCAATCAGTGCCTCACAGTCATCTACACCTATGGCATTTATCGCGCTAAAATTGCATGTTCTTGAAACATTTGAAATAAGTACATACGCAACTCACAAGAACACGTACTTTATATACGTATACATATACGTGTTTCTTATTTGTTTTGCAAGCTTTTTTCATCTCGCACGTATTGTAAACATGGCATCCCGAAAGTACCTATACTTTGAGCTGAACAATTTATAAGAGTCTACATGTACTATATGTATTTAAATATGTACACTCAACACCCGTATTATTTAACATCGCTGTCTGGCCTTTTCTGGTGTACCTTATACTCTGGTTACTCTGGTATACCATTCGATGTTGTCGTAAGACACGGACATTATCAAGTCTACATCAAACATTTTAAATCTAGTCCACGTTTTCTACACTATTCACTATTCGCTGACAACTTACTGTTACTGTAGCTAGTCAAGCCTACTGTTGATCCAATTCATTTGTTTTACAAATTCCAATAATTATAGATGATGTATATTTCAAGTTCGATAATCGGTTACCAACACTATTAGTACTTGTTAGGATCCAATTCGTACAAGTTCAAGTTTTCTATTTTTTTATTTCTATTGTATTTTTTATGGCTGTTAGCTCATGTCCCCCTGACGCGGAGAAAGTGGAATGAGTTTTTTGTATCCCGAAGAAAAGAAGAAAATCCCGCTTTTGGTCGAGGTGTGGTGTATCTGTATTTATGAAGTAGATTTCTGTTTTCCGGTCCCCCCATTGTCCGTCCAGCGCGATGGGCTTTGGGTACAAAGTAAGAGTACAAGAGAAGTAAATGCCCACGTACTATCTCTTTTCCGATAACTTTCTCTCCGTATCCTTGTCTTCCTCTAGTTGTGTGCCCACGAAAACTGGAAACCAGGCAAATTATACCTAAGTACCTAAATACGCGGTGGAATCGGAAATGGTTGAGCGAGCAAACAGCAATTGAAAAATTTATGACCGATAAGGGTGGTACACCGAACGAGATGTTTCGATGCAGCCAGGAGAGGATTGGTGCATAATACAAATCGGTTAAACCCGGGCAGGAAAAGGAATACCCAGTTAGTGAATCAAATATATGGTTATCGGGAATCACCGAGGTGTAGGTCTAGATGAAATCAATCGTCAGTCAAACAATAGAAAAACAATGGTATAGTGGAAGAAGGACTCGTGCCAGCCATCCGTGGAAAGTTACCTTGATACGACGACGAATAAGTGTGTGTTTTTCAAAGGCTAATTGTTGGTGAACAAATTGTTTTGTTACGCTTGTTGGAATTATGGAAACTTTTGTTGCGAAAGCTGGAGAAGCAGCGGGCCTCGACCTCCCTGTACCATTTAAAGGAGACAAACAGCCAAAAGTATCAAAAAAAGCATTACAACTGGTAGGTATCGGAGTTTTAATGTTAAAACAATTTATTAAACGACGTTAAACACTGCAGTCTACGTTCAATGGCACGTGATTTGATGAATTTCATAGCCAAACGTAATCTATCAAAAAAGACATGTGTATTTATGTGCGGGTTAAAAGAGAAGTAACGTATCGAGAGCAATGTCATAGATAACGACAAGGTATGATATTGATAATTAATAATGAGATAAAGATGCGTATGGCCGAATTTCGCATTTTCCGTCTTACTATTAGGTATATTTATGTACCAAGTAGATATGGTGAACTTTTGTCATTGATGTATACACCTTTAGGGTTGCTCTGCTTTCATGCATTGGTAATAAATGTATATAATGATAAAAGTATAAACTCAAAAATGTATCATATGTATAAAAATATTGCCGCGAGAACGGCTGTTTGGTGCAAGCTTTTCGAGTTAATATGAGTAGTCTCCGAACAGCAGTAGCGTCGTGGCAATGGAGAGTCCGAGCGATACGAAGGACGCCCGCATTCCTTGGCGCAACTTGGGATAATACCTACTGCGGGAATCGACACCGCCGCCGTAGTTTGCGAGCCTGCAATGCACAGAGTCGGCCAAGACAGAGAGAGAGAGAGATGAGCTTGACTTTACACCTTTTGTCATGCCAACCTATACCTATACTTATTCATGTACAGTTGCGTTTTTCAAGGAATAACTATACCTCACGATTTACCTTCTCTCAAGTATTTCAGTGACTTAAAAAAGTTTCGGGGATCAAACAGGTGTCATTGTTTTAAAAGTTTTCACAGAGAATAATTATTCAATTAAAGTAATGTTATTCTGTACATATCAAAGATATTTACGTGTTTGACGAAACTTTTTTCTTTTTTTTCTACTGATTTTTCATTCAACCTGCAAATAATCATACTGTCGATTGTAAAAAAAAGGCTTGACGGTTTACTTGACATTTTTTTTCTTTTTTTACACCTGATTCTGATTGTGTAAGTGTTGTTTCGTTGCACTTGTATATACGATTTCATGCAGTGTTTGATTGGGATGGATTACTAAAAATATTTGACGTGTACAAAGTTATGTGCAATCGTTGACAAATCGTTTTGCTTTCGTACAAACAATTGCGAGTAACTTTGCACGTGTTGTTAATTTTTGAAAATTTTTCATGCTTCTTCTACGGAAAATCATTTAAGAAGTAAGTACAATAATTTCAACATAATTGTTATCTCACGTAAGATACCAAAATGCTTTAAATATTCTTGCAGCTTTTTTTCTGCGACTGAAGATGTCAAACCACGTAGTTTGACGAATTCTTATCATTCTTGTTCTTTTATAATGAATCGGTTTGCTTTTTATTAATTTTTCTGGAATTATGCTACTTTCGTTTTTCTTGGCAATGGATCCTTCATAAACATCTCAAAATCACCATTTCGAATGTTTTTTTTTTTTTTTTAATACAAATAATGATAAGGTTTTCATTGTTGCGATTGAGATTTGTCTACTCATTAAAATTTAAGTCTCTCGCATAAAGTGATTATCATCTTGTATTTAAACCTACGCATGTATAATATAAAAATATAGATGCATAGAAAAACGACGCGTGCGTGTATCTGTTCGCGCCATACTTTTAGACCGGTGCGTATGGTAAGGTAACAAAAATATGAGGTAATGGGGTAAATGGAGTATTTTCTATGGAGGTGAATTGGAAATATCGTGTACATTATATTTTTAGATGGAAATTAGTCAAAAAAAAAAAAAAAAAAAAAACACTTTGAGTCACAGAAAATGTAAGTATATAAAGTTCGTAACGCGCGCCTATATTTGAATAATAGTTGGTAGTTTGTCTTACGATCAGTTTGGTTGTTAGGCAGGACTCCTTCACAGAAGTGCAGCCTCATTCCTTAATGATTCGACAGTCACGGAGGCTGAAAATGATCTTGATTTGAAAAATGTTCTACTTTCTGAAGTAACAGCGGCTGACAGCGGTTGATAATTGTTCTTGGCTTGAATGTCACGCAAATGAATAACCCTGAATCATGATTTACAATTTTTGTCCCCTCTATCTCACAATTTTTCCGAGATTTTTATAGCAATTTATACTGCAGTAGTATAGTGACCAGACCAGTGGCGGCATAATTTATCAAGGCTTAAACAAACAAATGAGCATCAGACCATAAGTTGACTATAGGGACCATAACGTTACGTAACATGAAGGATCGAAGACGAAGGCAAATCAGAAAGGGCTGTTCATTCGGCGAATCGGTAAAATTTCAATAAAGCGGTGCCTTTTGTGTGATTGTCGGAACAATGTTTAAGATGTAAGATGTATCTGTGTGTACATGTGGGTAAAAAAATGTGCGTGGATAACTCTAGGGGGTATAAAATAAAATACAACGAAATATTCAAAATGTAATGTTTATCATCTTTTCATTATTTTTCATAACGTTATGGGAGGTCGGAACCTGCAGCTGGACTCTTTGAAAAATCCAAGTTTATTTTTTAATGGAAAAAAAATCCCGGAAGGTTATATGCTACGCAGTCGCGATTCTGCAACCCCCAATGAGAATTTCATATCGTATCATTGAGTTTCAACGTAGGCGTACTTATTCGTCCCCTGTCATTTATACACCCCCAATTGGAAATGCTGTACCGCACTAGACTACGGAAGGGAGTGCAGTAATGATCGCTCGTGTCACCAAGCCGAACTCGCGCGTATACCTATGATAATAAGTAATTCTAGGCAACAAAACTCTCTGGACGATAGTATTTCACGGTTAAAAACATTTCGAGACGTTTTGAGATCTTCGTGAATTGATAAATGGTCCGAAAATGGACCACGTGACACGGCCATCGGAAATTTTCCTCGTCGCGTAAATATATTTGAAATTTGCGGCCTTGGTTAAAACAGCGTATAGGAACTAATTGATATTGCCATTTGTAAACGGCTGCAAGGATAAGTACGAAACGGCATATTTTTAGCGAAATGGCCCATGTACATGCGCACATGGTAAAACAAAACAAAAACGATTGGGCGCATGCGCTTACGCCGCGATCTACTATACTCTCCCAGCTCGGCTCGCTTGGAGAGGCTTTGGAATGCGTTCCCTCCCACCTCTTTCGGACCTCCTCTCCTACTGCTCTCTCTCTCTCTCCCTTTTTCTTGTGGCATACCTGCGAATCACCACACCATATGCACCATCCATACATACGATATATTATGTATACGTGCATGAATATGTATATGCTGCAATAAGGAATGAGAGTGGAGGTGGGAAGGGGGGGGGGCGACGCACGCGAGCGAGAAGGACGAGGATGCAAAGGATCCTTTCCTGCATTTCCTTCCCACACCTATGCATAAGTATACGCTCCTGGGCTATATCCTCTCGGTCCTCCATCGCTGCTGCCGCCTTTTACAATTATCACACGATTATCTCAAGCGATCCCGGAGGAGGAGGAACCGAGCTAATTTATATGACGGAAAAAAGAGCAACAAGCGGGTCCAGGTAGAAATGGTGAAACCTCTTTGTAAATCTTCAACAGGAGATCATATTATATATACATTACTACCAATGGAATGCAGATTCAAAATTTTTAAACGCCCATCGTGATGAAATTCCTCTATACCGATCCCATAACGATTTCCTCGCAAAATCAGCTCACTTTGTGAACTACATCGTGTGTATTGCATATATACCTATACTTATGTAGGCTGTTGAGTATCGCCGAGGTGAGTAAGTACACATGCATGCGGGAGAGAAAACACTCACCCGAATGCGTTGCGCTGCTGCTGCTGCTGCTGCTGCTGCTGCTTTACGGTTGAAATCGTAGAGGTACAAACTACGAAATCTGCATCGGTCAGTGAATGCTGGAGGATGATTCGATGCTGCCCAATTTGGGGGCTCACCCGATGTGCAGGCGCACGTCCAGGCAACGGAGGGACGATAGTAAAGGGGACCTGCAGGCGCGCCACTGCTTTATGCACGCGTGCAGGTATACGTAGAGGATATAGCGACGCGGAGCAACAGGTGGCCGAGGCTCGCTCACTTCCTTCACGCAAAAACGTCTTCTATCCTCACGTTCTCACTATCTACGGGTATACTTTTCCTTCTTTCTTTTTTTTTTTTTTTTTTTTTCTCTCTCTCTCTCTCTCTCTCTCTCTCTTTATCAATACATCAAGCTGCTTCACAATAAATCAGCAACCAAACAAACCATTGATTCACTCACTTTTATACACACCGATCTGTTGGTACGATTTTTTTTTTTTTTTTTTTTTTTTTTCGTTTTTCCTTCCTTCTTTTTTCTCCGAATTGATGGAAAACTGTAACTATTGCGGTGATTGTTACTGGTAGTATCGCAATTCCGTGAGCAGGATATATTTATCCATTAACTTGACGTGCTCGAGTATAAAAATATGTAAGTCGATGGATAGGTGTTGGGGATGAAAAAAAAAAAAAAAAAAAAAAAAAAAAGAAAAAGCGCGCGAGCAGGTAAGTTATAAGTGCTGCTGCTGCTGCTGACCTGCGTGCTCCAAGACGTCGAGCCAGCACACATAGAACAGAGTCCACGGAAAGTTTGTATTATTACAGGGAAGAAGGTAGAGCGGCACGGGCCGCGGACCGGAGCTCTTACACCGCCGGCAAGCGACTGCTCGCTGAGCCTCAAGCCTCTCCTTTGGTATGTACCGTAACCCATATACCTATGTATACCTTCCTGTCTATACCGATCTACCGGAGCACATGACCAAATCTCCAAAAAATCCGTTTACTAACCGAGGTTTAGTTGGTACCTACACTTTATAAACATTAACATTTAATCACAAATAAACGCCTGATTTCGAGCGTTTTCTTTACATACCCAACATTTTTACCATCTTTTGTCCTGATATATATATATACATATATATATATATATTTCACTGTAGTCAATTCAGCACACTCATACTCATTACTTTTGATGTCTTTTTTAATCACGGATATCGGCCCGTGTGTACAAATGATCTATGTTTTTAGGACAAAGCCTCACCATTAAGATCTAACCAATATTACGTAGGCCTTTTTTCCGTACCAACTAGTCAGCACGTGTAAGTTATACAAAGGAGCATCGGTATATTTGAGAGCTTACGTGATTTTTTTTTTTTTTTTTTTTTTTTTTTTTTTTTTGTTCGCAAATAAAAGGTACATTTAAGTATGAATAGGTATGTTTCCTTGTATATGTTTCAAGCATCCAAATGTTTGCGACCCATACAGAGCAGGTATACCCCATACTTTGAGTTAACTAGGTATACCCACATTATTTTCTTTACACAATAAGTTTGCGCCTCGTCTGACAGTCGGTGGGTATACCCGAAGTAGTTCTTATTTGCTCTCCGTCAANAAAACTATGGTCTTGGCTTTTTTACACTTGTTTTGTGTAAATTCTGGAGTATTTATATACGCTCCATTCTAAAGTAGTTGTATTCTTTTTTAATCTACAACTTTTGTATGCAACATTTTGTTGTGGAACGTCAATATTTTATTTATAGTGACGAGCGAAGAACCGACTTTTTAAAAATTATTTTTGGTCATTTCTGTGATCGGAAATATTTATATGATTCACTATTTAGAAAAAAAGTGGCAATACAAAACATATATCTACAACTTGCTACTACGTACTTAGTAATTGTGTTGAGCATCAAAGCTACAATAAAAAAAAAAAAAAAAAATTTTTTTTCAAGCTGAACAGTACAAGTACAGGAAATCTATTTCTCTATAATGAGATCTGTATTTTTAAGCCATTTTCATATTTTAGTAAAACTTGGTAAAAATTGCTTCAGTTATTTAGTTTTTAAACACGTACGGAGGTGATAGTTCTTTAAATCACGTATAATTCACACCTGAGGATCAAAATTTGCTTTTGTCGGTGGGTACACTTTTATCTGTGACGCAAATATAAAACACTAAAAATCATATCCTGCAGGAGCACTGAAATTCAATTGAAAAAAATATTGAACGGAATGAGAGTAAGAAATTTTTTTTTTTTTCTGTGCGTAAAGTACAGTTGTCATTTTAATCAGTTTAATGTGATTTACAAAAAAATAATTGCTTTATTTTTGACCTCGTGATGCGTCAGTTGCAACTTGAGCAATTTAACTACATGAAACCATCCATCCCGAACTATTGTTATAACGTGTTTAATGACATTATATGAATGATGTCCCTACAGCAGAATTTATTTTACTTCGATTCTCGCCAATATGCCCAAAATATTATAGGCAAAAGTCAAACTTTGCGTATTCCTTGGATAAAAAAAATAAAAAAAATCCCAGTTTATGTATGTATTATAACGTACCAATTATTATTTTTTTTTTTTTCTGACAAGATTTCCAAATACATTAAAATGTCCTTTGAATGGTCAACCGTTTTGTGTAGCAATATACCTAAACTCGGAAAGCTTCGTATCAAAAGTATGAAAAATTGTATGTCTAGTCAAAAATCATGATGACTCAACATAAATACACAAATTGATGGAATCATGGCAAGTTAATCGTGGGAACTGATATCAGCTGCCGATCAGAGCGTAATTGTACACTAGACGGCCATAATATATTCCCGACCCCCTCCGCGGGTTGAGTGGTACTGAAATCTTGTACTTCAGTGTCACTCAACTCGTCGGAGGGGGTCAGGAATATGTGGCCGTATATTATGAAACTTACTTCAACTTTAAACCGGAAAATTCGAAAATGCTTTGATTATTTATTTATTATTTTTATTTTTATACATAACAACGCGAGAGAGGAAGTCTGTCGATACAAGTCTGCGAAATATCGTTTGTTGAAAAGCAATTCGATTAAATGTACTGCGAATCGTTCCGGAATAAATAATCATTGTACTTACATAATATTGTACAATAGCCCTAAAAAAGATGTGCGTGGAAATTTACCAAAACGTATTTGAAGTTGATGACTTTCCCGCTCTGGTCGCAGCATAAAAGTTGAGCTTTTTTTAGTGCCCCCCCCCCCCTCCCTCTCCTCCAAATCAGTTGAAATTTTGGTAAAATTGACCTTTTCGCTGTTTCGCAATAGAATATTATTTTGCGCAACGAGAGCATAAAATTCGATTTTACGCACAAGTGATTGCGCAAAGCGAGGAATCTAAGCAATTTTTAAAAACATTCATTCTTGTACAATGTGACGGGAGTGACTACGAAAAATGTTATTTTTTTATTACAACCATACACGTAAGTGTGCGTGAGTGTATTAATTAGTTGTTCGCGTGGACCGCACGAACATGGTCTTCATATCTTAGGCATTGAAAAAAGAGAAAATGATCGAAGCAGGGAAATGTACACCTAAATGTATTTTTATTTGATATATGTTTTTTCTAAACGTATAAGTTATACATTCAAAGAAGCGCGTTTTTTATTTATTTTGCGTATCGCTTCTTCCCGATGTGATGTCAATTTAACTGATCGTGATTTTGTGGATTTTTGTATACCACGAACATACTTACACTATGCTCAATCCAAGTCACGGTCACCGGGCATCATTAATTGTAACATAAATATAGGAGCTTCTTTCTTAAATGATCAGACAAATAAAAATATTGTGTACCGTCTTGGTGTTTAAACTGTGCCGCCTATTTTCTGACGGGGTTACTGTTTTTTTTTTTTTTTCTCTCAATAGTCACTGATTTGCAGTCACTCTTGTTTACAAGCATCCCATTGGTCAAATGGACAGGTGCGCATATATTAATATTATACCTACCTACTTTTATTCAACACATTATACTATAGCTTTTGAGGTTCATACATTGGTCACCAAGAGGCGCTGAAGCTTATATTTATAACTTTCGGTCGTTTCACGAATGGTGGCTAGGTGGCTACTCATCTGCTGCTTCTGCCATGCGTATGTCTGTATATATATAGAGTCTCTCTCGACCTCGACCCTATTGTGTTGTTATACTTATGCAGTACCTACTACTAGCTCTTTGCCACCTCGCCAATAAGGCGAATAAGTAGGTATACCTACTTAAAAGTGTACTGATAGGATGTGCCGTGTGTGCTGTGTTGTCAGTGCTGTCTATAAGCGGGGGGGAAATGGGGGTGTTATGGAGAAGACATTGAAGGGATGGCGAATGAGGAGCAATCGTACCAACAGCTCTGTCTGAGACAGTCTATATGTGATTCGGATGAATAGCAGGTAGATCGTAGATCTTGTGTTATTTATAACTGTATTAAGTTTATGGACGACTAGTCGCGTGTGCATATATTATATTATATATTGGAGTAATATCTTCTGTGTGTGTGTTTGCGCGCGTGCTTGCACTTGCAGTGCTGATCACTAAATTCGCGAGCACTGTTCTCTCTTTTGTTCTCTAGCTTGTTCATTGTGTCGATCGATCGAAGATCGGATCGGATCGGAGTCGTCATACAAATAGGTACCTAAGCATACGAACACTCAAAGTAGGTATACCTACCTCTGTACCTACCTACTCGTTTATCTAAATATATATAAGATATGTCGGACTGCACATAATATTTATATCATCCACTCTATAAAGGTTACAGAGTGATATAGAGAGAGTCTCAGACTCACCACACCGCACATTGTCATTCACACACCTACACTCACCACCGCTGTTTTGTGTGTCATTGTCATCGAAAGCCGTCGCCGTCGCCATATCGTCACCGTCGTCGTATTTAATCGCCTAAAATCAAATCGACAGCCCTAGTACACACCTGGTGTAAACATACAAGAACAATCATTTAATTTGGCACTTGGCACTACAAATAAAGAGTACTAAGTACTTCAGTACTTATTATTACTCTTTCTCTCTCTCAACTATATATGTCATAAAAGTGAAAACGCGTTTGTGTGTTAGGTATATATTTTGGAGCAGATTCAGCAGACGAAGAGCGGAAGAGTCCCTGAACCCTGAATCCCCTGATGATCGAGCGTGCGCAGTTACGACGACCAGCTCCAGTAGCAGCGACGACGACGACGACGAGCGTCCAAACAAGTAACTGCTATCAGCTGTAAGCTCGTCTGGACGTAGTACATACGTTCGCTGTCGGGAGACGTCTGGCTTGGCCGTGTGGAACAGCCGCGAGTACAAGCGGAAAACTTAAGATAACAACAACAACGGCAGCAGCAGCAGTGGCTGCAAAAGGTGATGTCAGCTGCTGTATAGGCTGCTAGTGCTGCAGTCGAAACGCGGCTGCGCCTGCAGTATAACTGTAAGGTAGCTTTGGGGGGTGAATTTCTGCATCGGGCAGCAACAGCCGTTGTTAGGTATAGGTGGCAACGACGGCTCCTGTGTCTCTGTGCAGTGCAGGTAAGCCTGGCCTCGAGCGGCGAGTCGGACGACGGTGGGCTCGCTCCGCCACCGCGCAAAAGGTCCCGTAGTTCCCTCCAGGCTACTCAGAGGCCAGCTGCCGTGGCGGACCAGCTGCTGCTGCACCCCAGCAGCGCGGAGCAAGCCCACCGTACCAACCGAGACGAGCAGGAGGATAGCCGAGACAAAGAGTCCAGTTCCAAAGACATGGATAACAGTTTACGGTCAGTAGTCCTCTATTATGTGCACCCTACTTGGTATATTTTTTACTCATTTTCTTACGTCAGGATAACCCTCGGGACATTTTTACTCAGAGCTTGTTGTTGCAAAGCGACGCTTATTGTCCGTCCATGTACGCCTACGCTATTCCTTCTCCCTCTTTCTTTACCTTTTTTTTTTTCTTTTTTTTTTCTTTTCTTTTCTTTTCTTTTTTTTGGAATTATACTTGTATACAAATTCACATTTACTCGCGATACTTACATCTTGTCGCTTTTTCTTCTTTATTACTTTTTTCATTTCTTTTTATCCTCAAGTAACTTTTTTCTTTCCTTATTTATTTATTTATTTATCTCTGTACCATATGTACTCATCTACTTAATTATTCGTTTGTTTATTCTACACTGTGAACTCAGTAATAATACGAAATAGGATAGATGGGTGGATAATCATATTTTTTTCTGTGCTTATATAATAATTATCAACGACTGAGACTAAATTTTGAACTTTTTTGTGCATTTGGGAGCAGAACGATGCAGCAAGGAGCCAATGGTGCAGTGTTATCTTCAGGAACGCAGCAGAATGGCACTGCTGTGTCGGATTCTAGTGGAGCACAGACCAATGGCAACATTGCTACCGAGACGGATGGCGAGACAGGAGAGGTCAATGAAGAGGAAACCGAAAGCATATCACCCAAGATCATGGACCAAACTAATCAAGACATTGTCAGGTTGATCGGTCAACACTTGAAGACAGTTGGTCTTGAGTATGTGTTTTGTAGTTTCCTTTGTTCTTTTAATCAGCTGATTTACGCACACACACCCACACACACACAAAGGCTCTCTTCTCCCTCTCAATGAGACACTATACTTGGATTTTTCCTTAGTCATGCACAGTGCATAACAATAAACAAGTGCAAACTATTGGCTAAAAAAACCAATTTTTTTTTTAGCCGTACAGCTGATTTTCTCATGCAAGAGTCTGGATGCCGTTTGGATCACCCAGCAGCAGCCAAATTTCGCCAACATGTCATGGACGGTGATTGGACCAAGGCAGATCATGACCTTAATGAACTTAAGGGGTTTTTAAATAGCGCCAATCAGAGTCTCGTTGTAAGAGGAATTGCTGAATGGTTAATTGTGAAAAGTGAAACAGTGATGGAAACAAAATATTTTCAATTTCACAGGAAATGAAGTTTCTTCTGATGGAACAAAAATACTTGGAATATCTTGAAGATGGATTGGTACTTGAAGCTCTTCAAGTTTTAAGAAATGAACTAACTCCGTTGGGACATAATACAGGTCGTGTTCATCAGCTGTCTGCATTCATGATGTGCAGTGGCAAAGAGGAATTACAGGTAACAACAACCTTAATTGTGATTTTTGTGATCAAACTTCAACATTAAAAATTAGTAATTATAATCATCACCTCAACTAATAACGTGATTTTCATAAAAGTCTCGAGCTGGTTGGGAGGGTAAAGGCCTTGGGTCACGGACTACACTGATGGATAAATTACAAAAATATCTTCCCCCATCTATTATGCTGCCCCCACGCCGACTTCATTCTCTTCTTTGCCAAGCCGTAGAAATGCAAAATCAATTGTGTACATACCATATTACTCAAACACAGGTTTTACTAAGTTTTTATCATTTATTTCTTACTGGTATTATTATTACAATCGCTTTAAAAAAAATGTTTTCTAGACTAATTTGGAAAATGCTTCACTATTGGTTGATCACAGTTGTAGTAAAGAACAGTTCCCATGCCACACTATACAAATACTCAATGATCATTGTGATGAAGTATGGTTCTGCAAATTTTCTCCTGATGGACTCAAACTTGCTACAGGCTCAAAAGACATGACTGTAATAATTTGGGACATAGATCCTGTGAGTAATCTACTTATGTGCATACAACATTACTTTCCAGTGAGTATTTGCTGATTTTTTTCTATATCCAGGAAACATTACGAGTAACGCATAGGAAAACATTAGAAGGACACACTTATGGCGTTGCAATGATTTCTTGGAGTCCTGACAGTAGTCACTTAATTGCTTGTGGACCAGAAGATTGTCCAGAAGTGTGGTTGTGGAACGTTGACACGCCTGATTGCGAGTTACGTGTAAAATTAACGCAAAGCACAGAGGATTCTCTTACTGCCTGTGCCTGGCATCGCGATTCTCAGAAATTTGTCACAGGCGGACTTCGAGGTCAATTTTATCAATGTGTAAGCATTTTCATTATCGTTTTTTTGTTACATTAAGAAAGGGTTTTAAAACATCATGCATCTTACATCTTATTAATTCATTTTTTTTTTAATTTAGGATATTGATGGAAACGTTTTGGATTCATGGGAAGGAGTCCGAGTAAAAGGCTTGTTTTGTAGAAATGATGGAAAAACAGTTTTAGCAGCAGACTCTCATCATCGTATTCGTGGTTATAATTTTGAAGAATTAAGTGAATTTACGATGTAATTGAAAGTTTTCATACTTAAAACACTCGTTTAAAATTTGTGTTAAGCTATAATAACATTATTTATCAATTTAGATTAACAGAAGACCATCCTATCATGTCCTTCAGCGTTAATAAAGCAGATCGCCAAGCTCTACTTAATGTCGCACATCAAGGAGTTCACCTTTGGGATTTACAAGACAGATGTTTAGTAAGGCGTTTTCAGGGAGTCACCCAAGGGCATTTTACGATTCACAGTTGTTTTGGCGGCGTAAATCAAGATTTTATTGCATCGGGCAGTGAAGGTACATAGGGAATAAATAAAAATGGGTTTTCGATGTATAACTAACTGCTTTGTTTTTCCAGATAACAAAGTTTACGTATGGCACATTAAAAAAGAGCTGCCCATAGCCACATTAACTGGGCATAGTAGAACAGTGAATTGTGTTTCATGGAATCCTGTCTACCATCAAATGATGGCTTCTGTTTCAGATGATTGTACAGTAAGGATATGGGGCCCGAAATGTTCATCTTCAGAAGGTAGACTTGTTATTTTTAGTATATGACCTAAACCCCTAAAAAATCTTGCATTACAACGGTAAAAAAAAAAAAAAAAAAAAAAAACCCTTTTTTTTATTTTTGTTTAAAATTTATTTTAATTTATTTTTTTTGCTTCTTTCCCTCAGCATCAGAAAACACTTCAAACGGTAGTGGATGGTATGAAATGGTGTCGTAGCAAACATGGTCCCAATCACACTCCAATTGCCCTGTGGTGTTCAAAAGACTGTCGTGTTGACTATCACTCGAATTCTCCTGCCCTTTAATAATTTTATTCAATCTCGTGACTACTTTGGTTATTGTGTGATTTATCGCACATTAAAAAGTAAAAAGATCGAGAGGTATGTTTAAGAATTCAATTGTTCAACAAAAATTGATCAAGGTCAGAACAAAAATATATATATATATATGTGTGTACATTTATATACTTACATAGCAATCAAATGACACTTAAAGCATAGTAGTGATACTCCTATTTGAGTGAAACGCGATTGTATACATATGTATGTGCATGCACATATACATATGTGCGTATTAACTTAATTTTTTCCTGGCAAAATAATTTTTTTTCTCTCATTGAAAGCAGATTCTTGAATTTTCTCAGCACATACGTTTTTAAAAAAATAAATATTTTTTCACCAGTGGTTACCAAAAATTTTTTTGCCAGGATATTTGCTAGACTGCAAAATACGTGATTAATAAAAGTAATACGTTAAATATGTTGGGATGAAATTAATTAAAAATGTAGTTTTAAGGTATGTAATTTTTGAAATGAAAAATTTTTCAGAATATTTAATTTGTCAGATAAACAGTTATATGAGTTTATTAGTTTTAAGAAAAAAGCATGGCATATAGCATTGTGCCAATAATAGGTTTCAAATACACCAAATTTCAAAAATAAATGATGCCTTGACTTAATATAAATATATATAAATATATCTTTATAACGAATGTATTTCATATGCTTTGTCGATAATTAATTTTAGTCATATTTTCAAAAGTAAAACTTTCTAATATACTCTTCTTTAATGGTTGAGAAAATAAAGTTTAATTTATAAACAAATATTTTTTGTATTTGCCATATAGAAAAAAAAATCCATTTGAGCACAAAAAAAAGCGTAATCGATTAGTGAGTAACAAATTACAATTTAGGCTTATGAAATAAACTGTTTAAACAATAAGTTCGTTTTGCAGTACAAAATTAATTATGAACACACCATGTTCATTGCTTTACTAAATTGTGTACAATATTATGTCGTTTTATTATAGAATTTGTATTGATAAAAATCTGACTTCCTTAGTCGTCACGTCATCATTTCCATTTTAAAAAGTGCATAAGAGAAGGATTGAAATAGTTCGATTCTTGCCTCTGTAGGTGCTTCAAGAAAAAAAAAATTTTTTTTTTTAACTAGAAAGTGTGATCTCAGAGAGACAAATTGTTCCATACGATTTCAAGAGTAATGGTCAAAACGATAAATCCCTTATCATCGAAGTAAACTTATATATGGTAGGTTTAATATAAAACAAATTATTTGACACATATAGTCATTGAGCTCTCAAAAGAGTGGATTAATTAAAACATTCTAAGATTGTAGTAAACTTAGATCAAGTAACGATTAATGTATATGTATAAGCAATTAAACAAAAAACTAGGCAATGGTTGCAGCTCAAACAATAAAATACTGGACCTCATTTGTATTAAAATGAACAATTTTACATTATGGTATGATAACAATAGATTAACTGTAAGTAATTGGTTGCATTTTTAATATATTAATTGTTCGTTCGTTCTTATAAAAGTATACGCTTTACTTAAAGAATGTACCGTAACGTCTATTGTTGAATTCCAAAGCGTTGGCTTCTAATGGAACTAGCAAACAAGTAATATACAAAAAATATGACCATTAAAAACGTTGCATTTGTCTCATTAATTGTTGCGCATACGATCTATCCTTTAGAGTGAGTATAAACGATAATGCATGTATAAGAATAGATAAATCAAACAACTTTTTGCAAATTTAATGCGATGTTTTAACATAGAGGTTATTCAGGCATATAAAAAGTCAAACACAAAATTAGACCTTTGGAATATGATTTGATTAACAACATAACAATGTACATAAATATATTCACATTTCTTACTTGAAACGTGATTTAACATTGTTTTTTTTTTTTTTTCATGAAGTTATATTTTTCGCTCGCGATAACTTTGTTCATTATTTACAGTCCATAGCGTTTTTAATAGCTGGAATATCTCAAGGAATTGCTTTACTGTACTTACACATTTAATGCGAATTTAAAATTACAAAGACGTTTGAGGTATCGTGTCATTTAATTCTGTATTGAATTCATAATAAAAAATACCTCATAAACTCAAGCGAATAAAGTAAATTCCAAAAAATATGATTTGATCGAGTCCCAACAAAAAAACAAATTTTGAATATTTTTTTATCTCTTTCAATTTCATGAAAATATATTTCATATTTTATATTCATATGTATATATTTTTTCACAATTAAAATACATGTATTTTCTATAAAATACCTTTCTAATTCTAAATCTGATCAACTTCCCCTAAAGTGTTTTGAACAGACGTTCTCTGGATCTATTCGAAAGTACATGTATCTTTGATAAAACTTGACCATCCAACTATTATTTGTGACGTTATGGTTTATACCTTAAATTGATCACTTGAATTACATGTTTTTTTTGCACACATCAAACGAAATTTGGTAAAAATATAATCTGAATATTACTTGATTATTTTAAAGGTAATTGATGCTATATATTTATATACTTATATACACGTTGTGGTGTATTACGACACTTAAGACAAATTTTCAATTTTATTTATAATATTAAAACGTTTTCTGGCAGTAGATATAAGAAAATCCACAAAAAATATCCCGTTTTCGTTCCCCATTTTAATAAAAAAAAAAAATAATAATAAAAAATAAAAAATAAAAAAACCTTAAAACTGGGCTCATTTTACTCGTAGTCTCATGTATTATGAGGAAAAAATGTTGAATACGGGTTTCAATGAAGATGAAATTTTTTTCTCCACGGTTTAAGTACATGTAAAAATTAGTACATGGCATTACGAGTAAAATGAGCCCTATTTCAAAGGTGTGCCCCAAATTTTTTTTTTTTTTATTAAAATGGGGGACAAAAACGGGACATTTTTTGTGGATTTCCTCGAAGCTCCTTAATTCATCCAGTTTCCTGACAGTCTCTGCTATCGAGTTAATTATAATTCGCTGTATTTATTTTGATTGCATACAACGGCTGCCGGGAAACGCTATTAAAAAAAGTCATTGGTGCTAAAAATTTTTATAGTGTGGTATATAAATTGAATGGCGTAGACGCGAGAGATTCCTATTAGCCATACACAGCCCCCGCAATCAATAAAATAGCAATACAACACAAGGAGGTTTTATTCATTTGCATTTAAAATTACATTATGCTTATTAAATTAAAAATAAGCTAAATAAAGCTAAATAAAAACACGTAATAAAGCGGATGAATAGCTGTTTAGTGGAACATAACGAATTCCTTATATTCTGTAGAAATGGTCCTTACAACATCTTAACCAAATGCTACATGATATATTTTACTTATCGAAAGTTATGAGTATACAAACAAAAAAAGTTATGGGCATTTTTCGTTGATCATTTACCTTTAATAATAATTATGTTTAGCGAATACAAGCCATCAAAAGAATTTTTGGCCAATTGTATAGTATTACGAGTCAGCTATACAACAACCTATGATTTTGTTGAGTTACTATGCACACTAAATATGTGCTAGATCTTTACCAGCAGGTTATTTTTTCATTACATCGCCGATAAGTAGCATACTGACCTGTATCTCCAACGTAAATACTTACTTACAAAATTTAGTGATATTTGTACTTCGTCTAGCAACGTTAACGTTTCAAAGAGGAGTTGTACACCTGTGACTGAATTTTTCACAGTCGTACGATTTTCTCAGATGCACGACTTGCAAAACATTGCTAGGTACCAAAAAATGTACGTATGTATGTACATACATACTTACAAATATGACGTACGCATACTTCAATATAAATATTATCAGCCAGGGGATAAAATTTCAAACCATTTGTTCACTTGTAATAATTGCTGAGACAATTGCACTGCTTCAATAATATAATTAAATATATAGACATTGACATAGATAATATCAGGATGAATTTCGATTGTCGGGCGTCAAAATAGTCTATACATCATTTGCGGTTGAAACGTAAAATAATGAAAAACTGTATAGAAAAGTTTTCTTAACAGTATATCTGTATAAGATAATATTAATGAATTAAGGAAATGTCATAACATAGATATTCGACTTTTAAGTATGTATTGTTCAATCATAATTGTAATTATAAAATAATATTGTACACGATGCAATAAGTGCCTTAGCACTTGTAAGTTCCACAACTAAATGACAATTTTAAATCAAATTTATTGCCACTTAGCTGAAATAAAAAGTAACAATTACACGAAGAATAAACTCTCTGACCCATTTTTTTTTTTTTTTTTTTTTTTTACGTGATTTTCATTCAAACGTATTAATTATAACAATAAAATGTACCTTGTGCCGCTACTGTACAATAGTCTATATACATATTAGAACAATTTAATTGTGCAGATTATTGGATTAATTTTACATTCAATATTTATCAAAACACTCCATCGATCAAAGATTAAACTGTTGGAATTTTGAAACAAACCACACGCGACTATCCAATGTACGTATAGCTCCTATATTACAATTGTTATGTGCAGCTAAGTACTAACAATTTGATAGTTCAAAGTACATAAATTAAAAAGATTTTTGAATTGTAATATACGGTTTCGTGTAAGAAAGAGCTATGGTTCAGATTTCCGTTTAAAAAGTGTCAGTTCAGTCTCAAAACAAGAAGGTACCATATAACACTTCGAGTATTATTTTTTTTTCTTACTATTTTTGGTGGAAGGTCACAGCCTTCTTGCTTTCAGAGTTACACTGCATTGCCATAATACAATCTTATTAAAAAAAAAACTGTATTTACTCACATTTTACTTTCAGAGTCAAAAAGTACCAAAATTTTTGAAAACATCGTTACGCTATTGTCAACGATAAACCATCACATGTCTTAAATACTGCGTAAAATATCTGAAAATACAAGAAATTTATTGTTGCTGTAAAAAATTTGGAGCTTCACCCTCCATATAAAAATGTAACATTCAATAGCTAGACATTGGTGGACCACTCGTATGAGCTAAAAAGATTATATCTGGCTCTTGAGCTTTTGATTTTCAAGTAAATAAGTATGTGGTACAATAAAAAAGCTCCAATGAAATATCGAAAGTTCAGACATTTACTTTTATCGATGGGGTACATATCAAAAAGTCATCTTCAACTATTTTAACTACATAAAAAGTGTATTGTAAGCCTATACAATATACTTTCCCAAAATCTTGAATCAAAAGTAAAATCATCTATAGCTGGCGGAAATAATGTGTGTGAAATTAAAAGTATCGTTTTTACGTACAGTAGCGTGCCCTGCAATACATATGCTCGGTTTAAACAATTCTCAATCGATTACCATTTGTTTATAAAATTATTTATCATACCTATAAAATTTTGCATTTCATAAAAGTAAATATATAAAAATAATTTGGTGATAACTTGCTTATTATGTACTTGAAGGCCATGGCTCTATACCCAGCAGTGAAAAATCCTTTCGAAGTAATAATGTCATTCTTCGTGTACCGCATATATTAAGAAAATAAGCATTTTAAAAAACGTGAGCAGCTAGCAATACAATTTAAATATAAATTAAAAATGACTGGGCATTATTTTTTAAATTAATTCAATAAAAAAAGTTTTACAATAGATTTTTAAATGTATAATTTTTGTGGAAAATGTTAATTTTCCTATCTTGGGCGTTTTGTTTTTTTTCAATTGTGGACCTTTGGTGCGCCCTCGGTAGGAAAAATAGGATTCGCCACTGTGCGCACGAGTGACGAAATCTACTATTTTTTCAATGTGCAATTAAAAGTGATTAAATACGGATGTGGCAAATTTTTTATGTAAATCGCGTAGTTACGTCAAGAAGCAATTTAACGTTGATATGAATAACAAAAAAATCTAGATACTGCCAGTCTCCGTGTACAAATATACTTTCGTGCAATCGTGTGTGCTTATATATTTATGCTAAAGTGAGAAAAACGCAATCTCGAATGAATAAATTGTCATGCGAATACATGATGTTTACCGATTGTAAAATGTTTACCGATTCGGAAAATTTGTTAGACAACTAATGATTCTAAGTTCATAGGGATGCGTATTATGTGTATCATATACATATTACAACAGTTAAACAAAAAAAAAGGTAGGCTTAGGATATTATACTATAATCTTGTAGTAAAACATACCTTTCATGTACTATACGAAACCATTGATAAAATAATAGTGAAAACAACCAAATCGGCTGTTCTTTATAATTTCCAAAATGCTTAAGATAATGAAGTAATTTTACAAAAATTAATTAATCCTTTGTTTGGTTAAATTATATCATTCAATGAATTTTGTTGTTAACCTTCAGAACAATTATTATTTAATTCGTAATTCTACGTTGCCTGTTTACTGATGATTATAAAGTATCCGTTAATTCGATAACTTGTAATCCTCAGAGTGTTAAACGCTTAAAAATCGAGGTTCAACATCACGTATATGTATTTTTATACAAATATTTAAAAATTCAAATTTCGACATGATTTTAATTTTTTTTTTTTTTTTCAATACTGAGCAAAAACTATAAATGTAAAAGTTATAATTTATGACGTAGCGCCTATATCATACGGCCGCGCTACTTGATATGCGACTTCTGATTTTGATATTGATGATTGTATTGGCGTATGTTATTTCAAAGTTTTTACTACATAACTTTTTTTATAATTTTCTAGAGTGACAAACAATTATTCATTGGATCGTTGTATAATTTTTTTTTTTTTTTTTCAGAACCACGTATCGAATGATTTTTTATTCAATGTCTCATCCTTGTAATACGTATATTGCAAAGATATTGGTAAATAATTCACAAAATTTATTGATAAAACGATTGATCCTGTAAAGAAATGTTAAGAAATTACAACATAATGTATCCATCATGTATCCATAATCTGTGTGGCCCATACGACTATTGAAATGGCCTTTGCTTTGTAAAATAACGCGAGTACGTATATTATCAATAATACCAGTTATGACGTATGCATGGTGTGGTGGTTGCACCACATTTTGTAAAACTTTGAGTAATCGTCAATATCGTTTATTTATAGCTGAATAACAAAATTTGAATGTATTTGTACAATAGACAAAACAAAACGAGATAAATCTTGGGAGTTGCGCTTAGCGTGAAAAATAAATTAATTAATAAACTGTTTCACCACCTATATAATTTTCAGAGTATCTCTGACATTGTACTAATTGTAAGTAAGTTGCGAACACTCGTTGAGACTTTTTTGCTTTTTGGTTTCATCAAATGACAATGCCGATATTTCTGTTCGATCCTTATTATTTGATATTGTTGTTTGTAAAGTAATGTTCCTCGAAAAAATTTATTTATGCTGATAAAACATGTGTTTATCTTGATATTACTGCCGGATATATTGAAAAAAAAAAAAATAAATAAAAAAAAATAAAAAGTAAATATATATTTGAGGAACGAAGTTTTGAAATTACGCACATTTTACTCGTTGCATGTATATTTTAAAAGAACCGTATAAAATAGGTACTAATTTAAAAATTTGTAAGTTAGAAGAAATTATTTTATATAACATAAGACGGAGGATAGAACTCTTGAGTTAGGGTTATTATTTTTCAATAAACTGCCTCGACCATATTGACTTATTATTGATTGAAATTGAAATTAAATTTTCCTTCATTTTTTTCTTTACGCATGGTCATTAATGTATGTATATATAAATATATACTTAAAAAAAAAAAAAAACTTTGATTTTCCCATTAAAAAATAAGCTTACGTTTGGCTAGAAAATATTGATTTTTTATTTAAACATAGCCTGATAAGTTTTCTAGTTGAACAAGGCGTCTCAGGCATATCAGGCATTTGCAACTAGTTCAAGTTTGATTACCGGCTAATGAAAATTCTAAACTTGCTGCCTACGTTAATTAACACTTGAGAAATCACGTCATTTACCTGAATTCAGTCGAAAAGTTATCCACATCCAAGCAAAAATCATTAAAAAGTTATGGTTTTGTAACTGACTAGCAGAACTGAAACTTTTTCTAGGGACGTCATGTGTGTTGAAAACAATGTTCGAATTAATTATATTACATATTATAATGTTCATAACATGATGATAAAAAAATTGTTTATTTTCCTACTTCCATGAAATAAATAACTGGCAGCTACTGAATGAAACTGGTAAATGTTTAAAATCTTCTTGATTAATACAGTTCGCGTTCTTGTATGCGCTTTGATCTTGTACCCTGTGGAACAGGATATAGAACAGTGAGAACAAAATTTTCCTTGATTCGAACTCAATTCAATTTTGAGTAAACTAACAAGACTGACAAAAGAAAAAACTGATATTGTAAGTACTTATATGTTTTCTTTTTGAATCACTCTGTATCCACTCAAAGTGCATGAAAGAGTACTAATTTTTAATTATCAAAAGGAAAATTTGCCTTGTAAATGTACTAAATATTACTTCAGAATATCTAAATATTACTTCACATTCTTTTTTTAATCAGTATAGTTCGTATTCGGAGAGGTCGCGCTCTAACTAATCTCGTAATCGTAAATTATTGTAATGGTTAAACATGACAAATACACATACCTATTACGTAATAGCGCAGTTTTAATTCTATAGCTATATACATTGTTGTACGTCCAGTGATTATGTATATTTTCATCTGAGTAGGAGAGCTTTTTTTCTACATGAATCAATCGAGTCGGTTGGTCATACGTAAACGAACGTGTAAATTTATAAAACATGTACCTCCTCTAGAATGTTTGCGCTCCTTTTTGGTAACTTAATTAGCATACCTTCCACCCCTACTCTTTTAAGGGTACACCTATAGCCTATAGGTATATTTTTTTAGGGGTTTGTCCGATCATCGTTCCAAGTACTTATCATTCATGCCTTTATGCATTTGCATGTTGTTTCAGTTTGTGTTTGTACTTATATATAGCTTATACTTGATGCGTGCACACATACACACTCACACTATGTATTATACATATATGAGGGTAACAAGGGGTAGGGGGACTAGGGGGTACCGGGGTAGGGGTAGTAGAAATATATATGTATAAATATACAACACACATTCAGTGTTTCTCATTCAATGGCGTCGTGCCACTATATAGTTTTGGTTCGCATTCGCTCACCGCGGCGACGACTGTCCTGACCTGATCCTGACTGACCGTGTCGCGATCTTCGCGTGTGCGCGCAGTCTGCTAGGTTATATTTTACGCACTCCGGAGTCCGGAGGAGCAACGAACAACCGATGTTGTTGTTTTATTTTTAATAAGTTATCATTAATTATTGAACTTCATGAAACATGGAGTATATTGTGGCGAACGTCGATCATATGCGCTTTGATATCGAAATCGCCCTCGATGAGCAGTATGGAGCTCTCCCGTTACCCTTCACCGGAATGGACAGTAAGTAACCGTTTTTTGGCGCCTCTTTCAGGTTAACTTTCATGATTTTTTTATATTATTTTTATCAAATTACTTAGTACTCATCACTGAACGAGACATTATACTTGCTTCATTGTTGTGATTTTTTTTTTCTTTTCAACTCACTTTTTTTTTCAAACAACACTTGTTACCAGTCTGTAGATTAATTGTTTAAATCAATCCTACCTTTGTTTGTAACACTCGACAGATAATTAAACTAACTTATTTACTTTTCATCTTTTAGAATCTGTTGCTGCAGTGTGTCAATTTTATCCAAAGGGTACATGTACAAAAGGAGCTGCATGTCCATTTCGCCATGTACGTGGTGATAGAACAATTGTTTGTAAGCACTGGCTTCGTGGTCTTTGCAAAAAAGGCGACCAATGTGAATTTTTACACGAATATGATATGTCAAAAATGCCAGAGTGTTACTTCTACTCGCGTTTCAGTAAGAACCTGTACTAATTTGCTTACAATTTACTTTTTTTTATTCTTATTTCTTATCAATAAGATTTTTAAAAAAGTTATAATCTTTAATGGATAGTAACATTTCTTGTTTTTTCTTAGATGCTTGTCACAACAAGGAATGTCCATTTTTACATATTGATCCAGAAACAAAAGTACGTGATTGTCCCTGGTATGATAGAGGATTTTGTAGACATGGCCCACTTTGCAGACACCGACACGTTCGACGAGTATTATGCATGGCTTACTTTGCTGGATTTTGCCCTGATGGATCAAATTGTAAATTTATGCAGTGAGTATTCATATTGTATTTCTATTGTTACAGTAACAAGAATAACTTTTAAAAAACAAAAAAAAATTTTTTTTCTTACAGTCCTAGATTTGAGCTACCAGCTATTCAAGACATGCAGCCAAAAGAGGGCAAAAAGGTAATGATCACTTGTCACTTATGTGGTGAGAGTGGCCATAAAGCTATTTACTGTTCAAAAATGCCACCTGAAGTACGTGAACAACAATTACGTCAAGAAATTGATCGTGATTTTCATCATCGTGGTCCCCCTGGTGTTGGTTTTGATGGTAGAGATGACGGCCGAGGTCATATGGGTAGTGGTGATCGTCATCATCGCATGAACATGCACAATGGACCACGAGGTGATGGTCCACGTGGACCACAAAAACCTCTTGAAGAAGTTACCTGTTATAAGTGCAGTCGAAAAGGCCATTATGCAAATAAATGTCCCAAAGGCCATCTTGCCTTCCTAAGTCACTCCGGAAATGGAAGTGCTGATGCTGGAGGTGGCAATCTCTAAATATCAATGAACATAAAATTTACGTGAACTTTGTGATGACAAAGAATTTAGAATTTTGTTGTGTTTTCTTTCTTCAGTGGTGAAAAAAGGTGGACCAGGAAAGAGCGCATTTCATTATCTTGAAGCAGACCACTGAGTGTTTTAATTATTTACAAACCCTCCAGTGAACTAAAGTGATCATTGTTACGTGGGGCTCTATTCTACATTTTTATTCACCTAAACGATTTTATTTTTTTGCGTGAACTGTAAAAAATATATAAATATATTTCATGAGCTGACTAAGGATGAATGTGAATAGGTTACTTCAATGATATATGTGAGAAAACAAGTCAGTAGACATTTACGTTGTGCATAATAAATTGAAAGATAATACATAAAGAGAAGAAAATTCAATTTCTGCGTCGTTCAAGAAGCATTTAAGTGTATTTTTTTTGTGATTCACAAAAAAAATTAAAGATTTATTTAATTCAGAACGTTCTAGTTCTACCCTGTATGTGCGGGACTCATTAGAAAATATCAAGTGACCAAAAAACATTGTGCAAAGAGTGAATGGATCGATTTCAAAGTGACAACTTCCATGCCGAGACATTTCTGGTTTATATGTATATATGAAAGATAGAATAAAGCATATATATGTAATTTTCATTATTAGGAAGGCAACTGTCTAAGAATTATTGTTTAAAAGGAATCATTGATTTATCAGGCGAGAAAATTGTACAAAGTCCATCTTTTATATATAAAAAAAAAATGTTGATAAAATTATTAGACATTATGAAAACTAATCTAATTAATTTTCTGAGCACAAGTGATTTAAAAAACGTGTTATATTATTAAGAAGTTGAAAAAATAATAAACTAGTACTTCTCTTTTACTTTATACATTCTTTTAAAATTTTTTTTACAATTAGTTGAAATTTACTTATGTATATATGTGTATTTTGTAATATATTTATTTAACGAAAATTTTTGCATGGATACTAACACATGCAATGATCTCTTAACGGATCATTTGTTACCGTCTGCTCATTCATTCAATGATTCATTACATTGAAATAAAAGGGACAAATATTTAAATTTACATACAATTTTTTCATCAGTACTGAAACCCATTTTGTGTTATAAAACTTTCAAAATCAATACAGACATAACATTAAGTTACAGGCAAATAAATTTACAATTAAACTTTTGTTACATTCATTTATTAAAATTTTTTAAATATTTTGTAAAAGTATTTAACACGATNTGCACGAAGTAAAAAAAATAACAAGCAGTATTTTCTCTGACGCATCATCTCAATATAAAGAAATACCAAGTTTAGTACACATTCACATCTGGATTCAGATTGAAGCCGGCTTCAAAAAAGGCATGCTTCGCTTTGCTGCAAATCATACTTATACATATATAGGTATAAATGACTGCATGTGTCATAATGTGTCATTGTGTCGTATTAGTAATCAGAGTAACAGATACGTGTACTGTCATATTGATATATTATATACAAATAACTATGATTAGCATTGCGAGAATATTAAACAATTGCACCATGATCTGTAAATAAATTTTTTTTTTTTAAATTGAAAATGTGGCAAACATGTACAATGAGATACCGTGTGAGAATAATTTTAATTACACTGTAGACAATATTCTACATGTTACAAAGTAGTACTTAAACTAAAAGTAAAAAACATTGCACCTAAAAATACTATGTGTATACATATAGTCTGTTGTTGGGTATGTCATTGAAAGTCTCGTGATACTTGTAGTTAAGTACTATTCAGTCAGATGAAAACATACGACTTAAACATTTTTTTTTCATGTAATCATTGCTTATAATACTTTATATTTATTATGCTATTTTTTTTCTTTTATTGTTAAATCATACCTATCAGACATTTTAATTATAATTCAAAAAATTTACTACAATTTAAAAGTTATACGAGGAGCTGACATAATGTTGATAACGACCGAGAACGTAGTAAAATAAAACTTCGTTTTACTCATGCAGCTCTGAGGTTTTTTTAAGATATGCATCTTCCGTTAGAATGTATATATTATATGATGGTTTTATCGAATTCTAAGCAACGTCGTACTGCATAGGTAAAACAAGTCTTTTGTTTGTTTGTTTAAATTTTAAATTAGTAAGTATATTTTTACAATTTTTAAACAAATGTAGACATGAATATTTATTACTCGATATAACTGCATATAAATTTTTTAGCTGCATATACTTTTGATCTTACTGATATACATTATGATTTAATGGGAAGTCTAGTAGAAAAGTTTAGCCTACCACGGTCACTTTTATGCAAAATTTACTTTATGAATGAAAAGTAAAATTTCAAAAAAAATTATCTTAATGTTTGTCAAGTAAATTGATTCGAAACATTAGCAAATATTTGAAAATGATCTGATAATTTTACAACTTAACAACGTAAAAACCACACAAAATCACGAAGACAGTAAAAAAATTTCATTAAACCAAAATACTTATTTAGTATAATTTTACCACCGGAAAATCAACAATTTTTCAAACAAATCATCCTTAACTTTTTGGCATCATGTGCCATAGTCAATAACTTCAACATGGTTAGCCGGGAAGAGTCCATAAGTTCCATTGGGTGCCAAGCCTTGCCACCAACCTTCATCAATCGCGTCAATGTGCGTAATGACATCACCAGGATCAAAGGTAATTTCAGTGTCATCAGCTGCTTGGTAATCATAAAGAGCTTTTGCCTTCATCCCTTGATTATTAGGATCAAGGTATAAGTATTGTTGAGACTCGAGTTGGCCATAAAGTTCGTTTTCCGCCTCCTCAAGATCTAGTGGTAATGGTTGAGACTCCAGCAGGTGGGCTACTTGTTGAATCTCATCAATAGGCCTACTGTCGTAGTGGGCACCGAGATTATTTTGAATGATTGAGCTCTGGATTATTTGAGGCGTTTGCTGTTCTTCTGTTGAGTTAGCTGACATATCATGTTTCTCTTCTAATGCCTGTAGTTGCAATTGCGACTGCGTTTTAACTGGTGGTTGAGATGGTTGCTGCTGCATTTGAAATGGCTGAGATTGTGGTACAAACTGGGGTGTAGGTTGTAGCACTGATGTCAACACTTTTTCAGACTTAATCTCATTATTTTTTTTGTTTCTGAAATACAATAGTTTACTTTTAGATATTACTGTTAAGAGTTACTTTATCACATTTTTAAAATTATTTTAGATATTTTTATTTTTAGGCCTTATGCAATAACGTAAATCAAAGATAAATAAAAAAGTTTACACATGTGCTAAGTTTATTAAATGGTGCCATTTGAAATTTAAGACAGCAAAAGAGATAACTGTTTCACTCTTATGCAGTAATTTCAAATAATAGCAGTAAATAGAACAAATTTTGTAAACTTTTTTGTCCACTTTTATGTTATCTTATTACCACTACTTCAATAGACCAATGAATGTAAATTTTTAAGAAACTCACTCAAATTTAAATGGCTCCTTAGACTTATTTTGTTCAACTTGATTTTGTTCAAATGCTTTTTTTGCCGCCTCTATTTTGTTATTTCCCTTGAAAGGTTGCTTTGAAGGCACTCTAGTCTGTCCTGCACTGCTATTTTGTTCAAAAATCGCTCTAGCATTAATTGTTCGCTGAGCAATTAACTGCTGGGCTTCCTTGCTTCTCATTCTACGTAACTCTTCACTCCTAGATTTCGGCTCGTCCTCAGAATCGTTATTTTTATCTTTAGCAGCCAAGTTTTGATTTCTTAAGTTATTAATCTCTTCAGCTCGTTGTTCAGCTTGTCTCTGTTGCGCAACTATGTTCTCCTTTTCTGTGACCTACATTTTTTTATTTTATTAATGTAAACATCTGATAGAATAAAAATTATCATCTGTGAAGCAAATTGTGTTTTAAAGCCCCAAAAAAGTGTACCTTAATTTCTCTTAATTTGCTCTCGACTTCTTCACGTTTTCTAGCCTCTTCTTCAAGTTCCTTACGATTTCGTTCACGGCGGATGCGTTCCTGCTCCAAACGTTGTTGTTCCTCCATTTCTTCTTTTTGCCAAAACTGATCGCGTTCGCTTGCGTTGATCTCTTGTGTTGGTATTACTCTGATGCCATTGAAATGAAATGGAATTAGAAATATCCTCGAGAAATTATAAACTAATTTAAAACTTTCGTATTTAAAAGAATTTCTTATGTTACCTGCGATATGTGGTTCCCACGGGTCCTGACGCGTGATCTCCGTTTTCACCACGAGGCTCATTAAATTTATAAGACGAGGCAGTAGCTCGAGACAGCTTTTCCATAATTAGGTCGACTTCAACATCTTCCTCTGATCGAGCATTAATTGTGATGTGGGCGCCCTTAAGTAGCCTCTCAATGTCTCTGATGTGATTAGCACAAGTTCCTTTTCGTACAATCGGAGCTCCTTCCCCTTGCTATAAAATAATACATCATTAACTTAATAATTGTCCTACATACATCATGTTGTTTACTTTTTGTGATAACTTAAACAATTTTTGATAAATATAAATACCCAGTTTATAAGCAAGCATTTTGGCAAAGAAGTTTTTTTATCAATGACACGGCAGAAAGCATACATTATTAAGCCACTATTTAATTCTTCTATCATTTCATCTAATCCATCTTTTCCAGTACTAACAACTTTTAAAATATTTGTTTGTCCTTCATAGCTGAACACAGCCCTGTAAACAAAATTTTTTATTTTAACAATATTAGCTCTTATTTTAAAATATGTATATTTGTATATTATGCTGAAACAGCTACTATCATATATTAACGCAAGAGTATCGAATATTGTTTCAAAAATGCATTGCCAGTTATATGAAATGTAACAGCAGAAAACTAGATACTAAAATGTAGCTGGAAAACTGTCGAAGACCAAAAGTATTATGAATTAAGTACAAAACGAAAATCTAAAAAAAAATTTTTGTTCATGTAAATAAAAGTCCATAATATTATTTAGTTCAAGGGCCAGGGATGATTGCTTTTTAGAAAATTTTAATTTGCTATCGTGGGCTTGGAAAAATCGAGACCGATTTTCTGCAAGATCTTAAAAATAAGCAAGCGTATGTGCATATACAAAATGTAATTCATCATTATAATATTACATGAGAAAATAAATTGACAAATGTATTTTTAATGTTTTTAGTTAAAAGAAAAAAATTTGCACACAAGTGCACGAAGTAAAAAAAATAACAAGCAGTATTTTCTCTGACGCATCATCTCAATATAAAGAAATACCAAGTTTAGTACACATTCACATCTGGATTCAGATTGAAGCCGGCTTCAAAAAAGGCATGCTTCGCTTTGCTGCAAATCATACTTATACATATATAGGTATAAATGACTGCATGTGTCATAATGTGTCATTGTGTCGTATTAGTAATCAGAGTAACAGATACGTGTACTGTCATATTGATATATTACTAAGTAATATCTGATGCTGATTAATATGTTATAAATACGACTATACAAGTACCCATACAATGCAGTTTTATTAGTGAATATGTATTCATGTAATATATGAATAATAGTACTTGTTGTATTGATGTACTGATTGCTCCATACACACGCATGTATTTATACAGTGAGTAGACAGACACACGTACTAAGTAACAAGGCTAACAAGAATAACAGGGATTGCAATATTATGTATCCATACCAATTTGTGGGGAATTTGTCGTCAACGACGCTGTTCCAAGCAGCAACCAAAGTATCCTTATTTTTTATTAGGTTAACGGCCATCTTCGCTAATTCTAGCTCTTCTCACAACTCTTATCACATAATAATTTAAAATAACGAATAAGCGGTATATTAATTGCAGATACAACGATAGCCGATGTAAAGAGACTTACGACACACTATAGCTGTTAAATGTGCCAATAACACAGAGGCACTCACTGCTTGAAGCGTCTCATATATTTGCGTACTGCATACTGCCCTGTTTAACTCGCTTTCAGGTAGTAACTCTAGTAAGTAGGTATACTACTTACTGTACTGTTCGTACAATTATTCTCGGCTGCCGTCACCAGTACGATTATATTAATGTTTTTGTAAGTGGCGTAATGTACGTAATGTTAATTGTAAGAACAATCTATATAAATACACAAGGCGGTTAGTAATGTGTGTACAGTAGGTTCGTTCAAACTTGAAATCGAACCCCCCCCCCTTCGTTTCGGTTCAGTCGATTCTGAGGGCTTAGCGAACGCAGCGAGAGGATATTTGTATTCAAGTGTTAATAATGCCAAAAAATGCGGAATTGTTTGCAACGTTTGCAAAACTTTGTTAAAAAACTGTGGGGTTTTTACGTTTTTTATAATTAACAAAAAACTTTTGTTGCGGCGAGAACCTTCAAAATTATCGTTTTCTTGGCTCAGACATAATTTGCAAACACTAAGCATATCTAGATCGTGTGCAAATATTTAGCTGATTAAGGAAAAATATGTGGAAATGCGAAATATGCAATATTAGTTTGCAAATAATTGTTTTTTTATTTGGCTGTTGTCCCCACTATCGGAGTTACCTATCTACTGCAGTACTACACCACACATAGCAAAGGCGCTAAAGTTTAAATATGCTCAACTTGAATTTATATATAATCCGAATGAGATTATTCTCGCCTTTATTTTTATAAAATTACGATTTTATAGAAGTCTGCAATGAATGTTTAAATGCAATAATAATTAGTTAATTGTAATCAAACAAATCTATTATATGTACGTTAGTAATATATTACTGTAGGTTTTTTAACTACTACACGTCGTTCGTTACTGTTCCAAATTTGAAAATATTCAAGTAACCTTTGTCTATAATAATAAGAATAATAATAATAATAATTATTATTATTATTATTATTATTATTTTTGCG